GTATCGATGAATGATATTTTTAGCACTCATACCGGACGGGTTATGGGGACAATCTGATTCACCCTCATATCAAACGAGGTATTAAAGGATTATATTTTTAGTACTCATACCGGACGAGGTATGAGGACGACCGGTTAGTTGATAATATTGAATATTGGTTCATGCATAGTGGGACATCCCTGTAGATCCTCAAGGATACCAACAGACAAATAAAAAGGAAAAATCGTTGTTGTTACTCACTTGAATATGATATCAGAATATTATTTGAGTTATTATTTTTGTAATAAATATAAAAACTTAAAATTAGAGAAATAAAAAAATCGTATTGGATTAGATGAAGGTTAAAAATTTAGGGGTAAAATCGTCTTTTCGAAGTTTGTAAGAAGCCTTTTCTTTAAATTCGGTTGGTATACGGAAACTAAAAAACCCCCAAAAAATTCAAAATGTTTTCAGAATTATAATTAAATTAAAATCTTATTTTCTTTTTCTTTTGTGTGTGAAGCACAGAAAAGCTGCATCTTCTCCACACGCCTTCCATTTTCTATTGATTTTCTCTCCACTTTCTCAGAAACCAAACGCCTCTCATTATCGCATATAACTCTGTAACGAGTTTATACTATTTCTCACGGCCTAAGCTTTATGGTTTTCTCCTTTTATTATCACATATTACTCTCTAACGAGTTTATACTATTTCTCACGGCCTTAGCTTTATAGTTTCCTCCTTTTATCTGTTCTTCTCTTCCTTCTTCAGCGCCCTGAACTCTGGAATGATAATCTTCTAGTATACTGAGATTGGTCAAAGCTTGCAGAAGTTGAAGTTTGCTTGTTTTTTTATTTTCGGACTGGGTCAAGGTAAGTCTAAAGAGTATAGTTTTTCAGTTATTGCTTTTCCTTCTTCCCTTCATTTCCTTTTTCTTTTTGACTTTCTTTTTTTTTTTAATAGCTCTTTACTAATTTGAATGAATTCCATGACTAGATCGGTTTGGATTTGACAGATTCTGTGTTTTACGTTTTAATACTTTCCTTTCTTCGGGAGATAAGAAATGAAGAAAAATCAAATAATTTTGAGCATCATGATCGTTATGTTATGGTTTTAATGCTTGTTTTCTAGGCCAGAAAGTGAAAGATTTTCTGAATGGTTTATGTTGCTTTATTGTTTGTTATTTACTGTTTTCCGAATGGTTCTTCTGCTGATGTTTCTTGACAACGAAGCCGAGGCACCTATTTCTGCAAAAGAAGTGTAATAAGCTTGAAGATTATTTTCCAGATTTGAGAGAATTTTAATGTAACTTCTATTAGATCAGAAATTCGTTTTTTGTTTGCCGAGCTATTTCGTCGTATCCAGTTCAGGTATTTGCCGAATCTAGCTTCTTTTAAGCTTTTAAACTTGCTAATGGCGACTCAAGACTAAAGAGCACCAAGGTCTGCATCTATAATTATGGTCCCCGCCACGTTAATCAACTGGAGAAGTCATCCAGTGGGGTCTTTAGTTAAAGCTTGATAGGACTTTTTGATGAAAACTGGAAAAGTTTGCCTTTTGATCTCAATCTTTTATCTGATTGAGTCTGTCCCAAGTTCTTTTTTGTTGAAGAGTTTACTCCAAACTTAATCCTGAGGTTTGATCTTCCAGAAAATGTCGCAGAAAATTCCTTCTTCTTTACAGTCGATCAAATCATTGCCTGTTGATTTTGAGTTTGTTGGTTCACCTACCTCTTATCCGATTGAAATGAGCTCCCCTAGCAGGGATGTATCTAGTTTGAGTATTCCTGAAAATGGTGAGGCAAGGAATGAGATTGTGGAAGAAAAGGAAAGTAATGTAGAGGATGCGGAGCAGGCTAATGATGAGTCGCCATATTGTGCGAATACTCTTTCAGTTGAAGACGGGCTGTCCATGGGTGATGAAGATTTGGATTCTGCTGCTTTGCCTCTGACTTCAATATCAGCATCTCGGGATAGTGAACGGAGATGGAGCGACACCACGTCCTATGCTGCAAAGAAGGTATATTTTCACCTCTTTCTTTCTTATTCTCTCTCAAGCTCTATTATTGGATTGAGGATACATGATTTAGGATCCATTCTGTTCACAGTGATGATCATCCCGTCTCAGTCAGCTTTGTAATTTTGCTATAAAAGTTTAGGTGATGTTCTGCGTTAACTTTGTCACAAATTGTTGCGTTTGGATTACTTATAAGATTCATTCTTTGGCTTCATATAAATAGGAAAAAAAGGAAGTTACTAAAGCATGCATATTCAGCTATTTGACCATGCTGTTTTAAGTAACCGTAAATTTTTTCTCATCTGTGACTGGAGAGGTAGGTCTCGGGGAAGAGGTGAGTTTTTTTTGAGATTTTTGTCCCTGAAAAAGGCCTATTCTAGAATTATTGAAGAGTTGAATGGTGTAGCTTTCTACCCTTCAAATAATCCATATTCTTGATCCGTGACTGATCATGGATTTACCAAGGTGTGCTGGTTCTGTTGCCAAAATTCACCACCTCAAGCTTCAAAGTTAAACTCGCAGACACGTGGAGTTTGCATATGTTTCACCAGAAGTATGCATGCTTGTTGACTGTCTAAATGCATACCTAATAAACTATGGTGGCAATCTGCATTCATATCTGGGAGTTGTTCCCTTTCTCTATTTTATTTGAAAACTGTAGGGTATTCCATGAATGTGATATAATTAGAGTCCATGTGCAACTATGAATTCTGTTGAATTGAGTTCTGCAAGTAATCTAAAGTGCTTTTGTTAGCTAGTGGGCAAAGCATTTTTTGCTCAATATAGCATGTGCCATGAGTTTGTGGTACTGAACTTGTTTGATTGTTGATATTAAATCTGTAGGGAAAAGTTGGACCTTTACATAACTACTGTAGTTGTTAAATTGAGCTATTGTTGTTTGCTTGTGTGTTCTTTTCATGTTAGTTTAGATTTAGACATAGTATACATTTTTGGAATTATATAAAGATTTCTTACTTTAGTTTTATATCATATTTGCTTCATTTATCTATAGCTTCTTTTGTAAAGCTCACTGGGCAAAGCATAAGTTGATATACAACAAATCTGTTGCTGCTTGAGTGAAGCTTATTATATCTTTTTTAATTTTTTGAATGATGTACTATATAAATTAACCTTGTTTATTCTCATATACTGATTGTTTATCATAAAACAAAATTTTGCATGCATCTCTTGTTGACCCTTCAGATTTCTTTGTAGTGCTGTTTTTGCTCACGTGTTCGATTGAATTTGGAGACTTGGAAAAGTGCCAAAAATGCTTCAAAAGCTTGTATATAGCTGTAACATGGTTTTCAATCAATTACAATAAAAGAATGATGGTTTGGTTCATATTATTAAGATACAACTCTTTGATTTTTTTTTTCACCAATTGATGAAACATTTACCATTTTAGAAGCTTCAATCTTGGTTTCAACTTCCAAATGGGAACTGGGAACTGGGGAAGATATTGACTACTTCAGGGACAGAATCTGTTATTTCGCTGCCTCTGGAGAAGGTAAGTAAAATCTTAATAGTTCTAAAGTGATATTTTTATAATGTTTTGACGTTTGACAAAATATAACTGTCCATCTTCAATAACAGGTTCTAAAGGTGAAATCTGAGAATTTGGTACCAGCAAATCCTGATATCCTTGATGGTGTGGATGATCTGATGCAACTTAGTTACTTAAATGAACCATCAGTATTGTACAATCTCCAGTACAGATACAATCAAGATATGATTTATGTAAGTGTATATACTGGTCTTTTGGTTACTTTTGAACCTGTTACTGCAGCTGAATGCCTATTTTGTGACAAGAATTTGTTGTATTAGACAAAAGCAGGGCCAGTGTTGGTTGCTATAAATCCCTTCAAGGAAGTTCCTTTATATGGAAATGGCTACATTGAAGCATATAAGAACAAAACAATTGACAATCCACACGTGTATGCCATCACAGACACAGCCATCCGAGAAATGATAAGAGGTGGTTCTTGTACACTGTCTTACTTTTTTCGAAATTATAATAATTGAATGGGCTTTTTACAATAAATTTTCTTTCTTATTTCCAGATGAAGTAAATCAATCAATTATTATAAGGTCAGTATATTTACTGACAAAGTAACCATTTATATCATTTATTACTAGTAGGAAGAGTACATGGTAGATACACATTGCATGGACCTATCATTAAGAGCATCTAGGTCAGATGAGATAGTGCTTTGAACTCCGCCCCTTTTCAAAAAGAAAAGTGGGTTGTCAGGAGTATATTTAACCATAGCTTACCTATCTCATCTTTATTTCAAAAAAAGAAAAAAAAGCTGACCCATCTCGTCTTGGGATTCATGAAATCGCATTGTTCGTGTTATATGAGACAATGAGTTAATCTCCTGGTGCCTTTACAACTTATTAATTTGTTGGTTGCGTTTCTTAACACTGTATTCAATAGGTTATACGATTCTTCCATTCTTGTCATGCTTCTTCTTGTTGTTATCTAGATGCATGTTTGCAGATTGTTTTAAATTAGGGAGGGGATGCTGTGGCATTTCTTTTATATGTATTTTTGCATTGGGAAATCCTGCAGGTTTGTTGAAACCCATCTCCTTCGTAGTAGGTCCGATTGATTGTAAGAAAGAAACTAGACACAATAAAATACTTTCCTTTTTCTTGTTTTACTGGATTCTGGTAGCGTAGCAGCTTTTTTTTCCCTGTTAGATCTTGGAGATATCTTCTTATGACTGATTATGTTTCAGAGTTCCTTCTATAACAATTGAGATTCCATTTTCTTTCAAGAATTTTTGAGGTCGTTCTTTTTGTCTTTGGCACTGTAGTGGCCTCTGGACATTTTGTAGGTAATAGGAACCTAGCTCCTTTCCCAATAGCCTTCTTGGTAACTACTTATTCATCAAAGTACAAAGAAAAAGAGAAACACTTTTGTATCTTTTGGAAAAAAAAAAAAGGAAAAAGTTTGTTGTAAACTTTGCTGCTTAGCACATATCCTGGTGTGAACCGAGAAGCCTTGGTTCCACACACCCGGGCCCTCTTTTTTGTACAATAGACAACATATTACAAGGATGCTGATTGCTTACAGATGCTGCCATCATAACATGATTTAACTAATAACTAGTATTTGAGGACGTAATATGTCAAATTTTTCGTGTTTAAGGTAGAAAGGATCCCTGCTAATATCTTGATGTTGTTCAATTTCTTGTTCAGTGGTGAAAGTGGCGCAGGAAAAACTGAGACAGCAAAGATAGCAATGCAGTACTTGGCTGCTCTGGGTGGTGGTAGTGGGATAGAATATGAAATATTAAAGACGAATCCGATTTTAGAAGCATTTGGCAATGCAAAAACATTGAGGAATGACAACTCAAGTCGCTTTGTAAGCTCTCTATTTGAACTCAATCATCTCAGACTCATATAATTTTAACTAGTTCTTGTTGTTGATTGACAATTCAAAGAAAAAGTATTTAAGAAGGCTCGTTGGTTTATATTTAAAGTATTTATAGCTTTGGTAAATGCTTTTGTCTTTTTTTGAATAGGGAAAGTTGATCGAGATTCATTTCAGTGAGACTGGAAAATTATCGGGTGCCAAGATTCAAACTTGTAAGACATCTTTTCAGATAAAATCCTCCTCTCCTCTTTTCTTCTTTCCATAAAACTGATTGTGTTCTCATATGCACCCCGCTTTTGTTTCTGCGAAACTGACCTTGATCTCGAATTTGCGGTTTGCTCCTGTCAAAATCTGTAGTTTTACTTGAAAAGGTAATTTTTTTTCCTGTATGATTTTAGTTTGTTTGGTTTTTCCTTTTTCCTTGTGAGACATGTTGCACATATCTATTGTCTGAACAGTCAAGAGTTGTTCAATGTGCTGAGGGAGAAAGGTCATATCATATTTTTTATCAACTTTGTGCTGGGGCTTCACCTACTCTCAGAGGTATTCTGTTGCTTATTTTTTTTTCTATAGCATTTATTATTCGGGAAATAATTTTATATGTTCCATTTAAGCATC